CGGAAGGCCCTTGGCATTATATAAAATAAGTGAATTAAATGAAAGAAGTCAGACAGAGGAAGACAAATACTGTATAATATCACTTACATGTGGAATCTAAAAAAGCCAAACTCAGAGAAACAGTAGAATGCTGGTTATCAGAGGTTGGGAGAAATAGGAAGATAGTGGTCAAAGGGTACAAACTTTCAGTTCTAAGATTAACAAGTTCTGGGCATCCAATGTACAGCATGGTGATTATAGCTAGTAATATTTGAAAGACTCTAATAAAGTGGATCTTAAATGTTCTCATCACAAAAAAGAAATGATAATTATGTGACGGGATGAGGTGCTAATGCTATGCTGATAATTATTTTGCAATATATAAATGTATCAAATTAACATGCTATACACTTTAAACTTATACAAGGTTATAAATCTACTATATCTCAATGAATTGGGGCAGGGAGCCCCTGACTTGTAGGATACACTCATCAAGAATTCAGCCTCTTCAACTTGGAGTTGGAGGGGATGAGAAAAGCTGGCGGTCTGCCCTCCTCCTCAACAGTGAGATACCATATTCCTTGTTTGGAAATCATGTCCCCTGTTGAGGGTTCTATCTTTTTGGCCACAACCTGCCCAGAGTGGAACTTCCAACAAGCAGAACTTCCAATGTCACAGACTCTCACTGTTCTGAGTTTTAGCAGATTAGCTTGAAGATCCCCTCATTTACTGTATGCTCTTAGAACAACTTCCATAGATTTTACATGGATGGATTTGTCATTGTTTATAGGTTTTATTTATAGCTGCCATGGGGAGCAGGTCCACAGAACTCCACACACTGCCATCCTGGAAACAAAACTTCTCTTCACTTTTACAGTGAGAATTCCTGGGTTTGTACAATCTAACCCCATCCTGCTGGCCAGAGTCAAACGTTTAAGGGTTGAGCATCTGACCCAAGATGGGCCAGAGCCCTTCACCAGGAAACTGTTGCTGAAACTAGGAGTCTACTCATCAGAACAATGAGAAGAGAACACCAGAGAACCATGGAGAATGAAGAGACACGGAAAGGACTCTGAGTTCCTAAGAATGCTCTCGTTATTGGATCCAGCCAGTCCCTTCTCCCTGCTTTCAGGTCCACTCTGAGAGAATTCAAAGAGGTTTCTGTCACTAGCTTTCAAAAGAGTCTTAACAGTTATGATCTAGGACTTCCTTGAGGAAAATTCTACTTTGAGCAAATTTCAATTAATCCTCCTTGGAAAAGAGGTCAAAAATGGCTCCAGGAGCCTAAGGGAAAGGTCCCCACCTCATAGAAAACCCATCCCAAGTACCTTGATTGTGCTCGGATTCCTCATTAGCCACTCGCATCAGGGCGTCCAGCACCAAAGCATTGTCTAGCCAGGTGTACCACTCTTCCAACTCCTGAAGGAAGCTAGCTGTGCCTGTTGACTCTGATACCTTTCGAGTCGCAAGTTTGCAAAGCCGCTCAACAAAGCCAGGGATGCTGAGAAGGGCCGCTGCCATGGAGAGAACAAAAGAGTGCATTTTCAAAACAGAGACGGGCTGTAAAGCCCTAAACAATGAGCCTGTTCCTTACCTGCATGGTAGGAATGATTTTTAATCTGACACTAGCTAGTCAGAGTTTCCTTTCAAAATGAAATGCTAAGCCAAAGTAAAACAGTACTTATTATAGAAACAAGTTCAATAGCAGGTGCAGGGAAATAGGCTCTTTTACATCTACTGGCGGGAATATAAATTGGAAATCACTTTAATTTCTTAAACCTGTATGTCTGAGCCAGGAGGCTCATTTCTGGGGATTTCCTGCAAGGAAATAACCAATCACATATACAAAGATATTCACTGATGTGGTTTCTACAATAGCAAAAAGGTAAAGATAACTACATGGTCATCAATAGCATATCGATTAAACACAATATATCCCAATACAATAGAATACAACAGACACTAAAAACAAAGACACACATATCTTTATACAGAGTGACTCAAAAAAATGTTTAAATTTACTTGTTAGAGAAAAAATTATTAAACAGTATTGGCTTAAGCCTATTTTTTTAAAAAAAATTTGCTTCTTTAAAATATGCACATAATATACACATAAAGAATGAAGACTATACAACAAGGTGCTTACTGTGGCCATTCCTGAGTACAAAAGGATATAAATGCTTCTTTTAAAACTACTTCTCTCTAGTTTGATTTTCCCGTAACAAACATGTACTAGCAGGAAGAAAGAAGTTTGTTTTTTTTTTTTTTTTAGGTAAACAAAGAAACTGAATAATCACCCAACTCTTATTTCCCTTAATCCCATTTTGCTCACAGTAGTAAGATGGATATTCCGATCAGCATGTAGAGAACATAATACACTGTGGAGGCAGGGAAATCCAGGTGGTAGATCATGGATCTATCATTTAACCTTCTTTAAAAATAAGGGCTAACATCTCTATGGATTTGCTTATACATGTATTAAATCTTCCTGGGAGGATAGAAAACACCAGTGGCTACCAAAGGCAAGAGAATCAGGCCACTGGAAATAAGAGTGTGAGGGGGAAACTTTTCAATGAACACCTTTTTAAATCTGTAGATTTTTTTGAACCACATGAATGCATCATCTAACTGAAAATTAATAAATAGGTATTTAATAATACCAAGATGTTACTATTAATTTGGGGGGTATAATATGGTGTTGGAGTTATTTTTAAAAAGGCTCGCTATCTTGTGGGAACGCTGCAATATATGCAGGTTAAATTTTATGATATCTGGGATTTGCTTCAAAATAATTCAAAGTAAGGTAGGGAGGAGTGAAGGGATACAGAGAAAGAGACATGGACAGTTGAAGCTAGGTGATGGGTAAACAGGTACCATTACAATGTTATATGTGTCATAAACCTGTCTCTGTGTGAAGAATTTAAATGAAAAATTTTAAAGTAAAATTCAAAAGAACAATATTAAAGAAAATTCTTCAAATATAAAATAAATTACAACAAATTAGTTAGGATTATACAAAGTCATACAAATTCAGTTCCAGCACAGAGCTCAGCAAATAATCTTAGCCCCCTTTCCATCCTCTATAGATTAGTGACTACACTGTCTGACCTCATTTTTTGAAAAAAAGCTAATTAAAACTATATTACAATTAACTTTTCCTCAAAAAGTTGAACATAGGGGTCCCTGCGTGGCTCAGTCGGTTAAGCGGCTGCCTTCTGCTCAGGGTGTGATCTTGGGGTAAGGGGTGGAGCCCTGCAGCGGTTTCCCAGCTCAGCAGGGAGCCTACTTCTCCCTCTCCCTCTGCCCCTCCCACCCCATTTTGCTTGCTCGCTCTCTCAAATAAATCTTAAAAAGAAAAAAAAAAAAAGTCGAACATAGAATTACCACATGACCCAGCGATTCCACTCCTAAGTATATCTCCCAAATCACTGAAAACAGGTGCTCAAATACATACACACACACATTCACAGCAGCACTACTTCAACTGCCAAAATGGGGAAACAACCCAAACGTCCATCACCAGACGAACGAATAAACAAATTGTGGTATAGACAGATAATGAATATTATCCAGCCATAAAAAGAAATACTGATGTGCTCCAGCATAGGAGAACCTCAAAAACATCATGCTGCGTGAAAGCAGCAAGGTACAAAAAGTCACCTATTCTAATGTATGGGGATTAACATAAGAAAAAAAAAAAAGTCACCTATTCTAGGATTCCATTTAGAAAGTATCTAGAATAGGCACATCTCCAACAAGAATGCAGGTAGTTGCCAGGGTTGGGGAGAATGGGGGATTTCAGCCGTCTAACGTGTATGTAGTTTCCTTTTGGGGTGATGAAAATGTTCTCAAAATAGATGGAGGTGTGGCTGCACAAACTGTGAATGTACCAAATGCCACTGAGTTGTTCACTTTAAGTGGTTTGTTTATGTGACATTCACCGCAATTTAAAAAAATACACAGAGATAGCTTTTTTGTTTTGAGATACCATTTTTTACTTACTGGCTTGACAAACATCAAGAAGTTTAAAAAGGCCCTGTAATGGGAATGGTGTACAGGGTGGGGGAAAATGAACCAGTAAGTGCTTTGCAGGGTTCATCGGTCAACATCTATCAAAGTATAAAAGGCAAATATCCAGCACATCACACTCCATACCCAAGACTGTTATTTGTAGGAAAAGAGATTTAAAAATAAACCAAATTTCCATCAATCAGGGACTGGTTAAATAAATTGTGGTATGCCCATATATTAAAATACTACGTAGTTGTAAAAAGCAATCACACAATTCTGTAGGTACTGCAACAGAACGCTTTGCAAGATAAAGTTAAGTGAAAAAAAAAAACCAAGGGGCAGAAGGGTGCCTATTTTATACCACCATCTCTACAGCTAGGAGCTAATCTCTTTCCCTCCTCCATCCCCCAGACTGGGCATATAGAGAATTTCTCTGGAGGGACACATGAGAAAATGTAACAGGGTGCCACAGGGAAGGGAACAAACTTTCTACACTATATCCACTCTTATTATTATTTAAGAAACTTTAGATATGTATTGCTTTTTTCCAAAAATAAATAAAACAGTGGATTCTACATGAAAATCTTCCCAAAGCTGGATTTTTACTCTCAACCACTTTTCTGCAGGATGAATAGCTGCAGTTTCTCTATTCTTCATAGGACAGTTCCTAAGACCTATTCTTCCCACCCTGCGCACTCAACACAGCCCTTCAGATGTGACTGCCCAGCATTCAAGGTTCTGAGACTCCGACCCCCACCCTGGAGATTCCTAAGCCTTTGTGAATCACTCATCTCTTGAAAAAGTGATGAAAGCTATGGGCTCTCTCCCCAGAAAAAAGTCACTGGCCCAATTATGCTCATCAAATTATACACAACCCCTGGGAACTGGCACCCCGCGTCACAGTTCCCTGTAACTCTCGCGGCCTTACCGACAGTGACCCACACTACTGGTTAATGTTAAACTGGCTGACAACTGAAACACAACTTCTGAGAATTTCTGCAAAAGCATACCTTGCTTCTCCTCATATCTGTTAAAACATCAGGACTTTGAAATATTCCCATAAACTTTCCTCTTCAGTTTAGGCCCTGCTTTCCAACTGAGAGGATTCTGAATCCTGTCCTAGCTTACAGAAATCAGCACCTCTTACCTCAGGTCAACTATAAATTGATAATTATCTGGCCTATGGCTTCACCTACATCTCTGACTAAACTCTTGAATGATTTTTTTCCCCCTGATGAAACCATCTGTTCCCCCTCTGAATGGACAGAAGAACTGGTACTTCTGAGAAATCCAAAAAGGGCTCTAATATTTTTATTATTATATCAGCTCCAGGAAAAGAGTATAAACCATTATTTTGCTGGGCAAGAAAACAGCCACAGTTTATTAATAAACAAAGCAAAAACATGTCCACTTTTCATACTGTTATGGTCCGAGTTGTGTCCCCTCCCCCAAATTCATATGTTGAAGCCCTAATTCATAACATGACTGTATCTGGAGACAGGGCCTTTAGAGAGGGAATTAAATGGTGTCATTAAGAGTGGGCCCTAACCCAATAGGGCTGGTGTCCTTAGAGGAAGAGACACCAGAAATCGCTTTCTCTTTGTATATACACAGAGGAAAGACCACCTGAGGACACAGTAAGAAGACAGCCGTCCACAGCCAGGAAGGGAGGTTTCACCAGAAACCAATGCTGATGGCACCTTGATCGTGAACCTTTAGCCTCCAGAATGGTGAGAAAATGAACTTCTGTTGTTTAAGCCACCCAGTTATGGTATCTTGTTATGGCAGCCTGAGATGATTATTACACATGCCTCTATTTAAAACCATTTAGTACTGGAGTTCAATTAAAGCATGACAACACTGAGGACTAAGATCTTTCACACTGTACTTGTGATTTAATTATGCTCACCTTGGCTTTCCCAGGGCATGTGACTGGAGAAAAATGTGTGTGGGGTAGGGGGCAGGAAAACAGGAATTATGGTCAGAGAGCTGGGAAAGGTCAGACCCTGTACAACATCACGTGCTAAAATACAACATTTACTAAAGCTTCAACTCAAAAGCTACAAGCAGACATCACATGATTATCTCATGGGTTAGCCACATAGGTACACAAGTGAACCTAGACAGTTTATGAAGACTTTCTTTTTTTAATGACCCAAATCAAAGAAACCTGGGTTTGGGGTTAACGCTCAGTTAATTAAAAAACCAAGTGACTAGAATACCTTGTCCTCTAAGAATGATGGTTTCACTTAAGGCAGCTTATAGACAGGTACATGAAGGTACTCGATACTAACAGGATAAAAGTAATCTGCCAGAACAGATTCCTTAAATGGGAAACTAAGATGAAAAGTCACTTAGTGCCTCAGCACACACAGGTATCCAATACTGAACCTTTATGACCCTCCATTTCCTAAGCTGTGCAATGGGGATGCCAATCTCTTATTTCATAGGGCTGCTTGGAGGAGTAAATAAAATCACTTCCAGGTAATGCAGTTAGCTTAAT